TTCCATCGTGCATATTCTCCTTATTTTATGTCTATCCAGCATGTTCTTGCCAGGGCAGGTACACATCACATCCATGTTGGTTAGAAACATTTCACTCCATTTCAACCCGTTTGATCACCAATTTATCTTCCAACAACTCCCAATAAATTTTCTAACCATGACTTGTACCATTCAAACATCAATTATTCCTATTCCATTTTAGTTGTGAATACTATGACTTTGGAGTTCAAATACAATATCTTCCAAGATTTCTTGCACCGTAGAAGAAGGATTCATTAACCCAACAGACACCATTGTATTCGACACAAATTTTCTAAGAATAGTAAGTATTAAATAGCTAAAAACACATGGACAATGTTACAGGAGAATTTCAAAAGAAAGAAAGAAAAAGGTATAATAGGACTCAATTAAAAATGTCTTCCATAATAAAGGAAATGGAAAAAAGAAAGTATGATGGAGGAATTTCTAAATATAAAGAAATTTCTTTCAAAAATAATCAAGATGAATATCTCTGTGTAACATTTATAATAGGATAAATTATGTCCTGAAAAATCATTGGTATTGTGAAAAGTCACGTTGGGTGCAAGAAATTTGCACATGTCAAGTTGTTGTAGCAAAATAAGTATTAAGTAAACTTTGTTGAAGAATATGACATGAGAAACATCTTTCATTTTACCCAAGATTTTAGTAGTGAAAAAGATGGAAATTGAAACTTAAATAATGGTTGTAGTAATCACATGAACATATATCTAAGCATCTTCAAGGAGAAGACATTGTGGTAGAATAAAAGGAGAAGACATAGAAACCATAAAAGTAAACCATTTATTAATGTCGTATTAGTTGATATAGGTGAAATAGTGACAATACTTTGGAGAGACAATATAACTTGACAGAGTTGGAATTGAACTACATCCACATCATTAACCATATCCTCCCAATTACTTGACACCTTTTGCGTACCATTATGAAAATTCTCTACATCTTATGGAACTACGTGTTCAAGTTTTGGCATCCCTTATAAGCTGTTTGTTATCTCTGCACAACTGCCAACTTTCCTGTCTTTAACTCTTATCTTCCACATAGTCTTCCTTATCCAAGACTTGTGCATAGGAGCACTACTTGTCCAACTCCATTTAAAGCTCATCTTCTCCATGTTGAACATGTTTCTCATGAACTAGTCACTCTTCTAGAGTGACATTACTAATATCTACCAATGATGGCCTCCCTTCTAGCCTATCCATTTTCTGCCAACTCCTACACCTACAATATTTTGTAACCATTATCCTACTTTAGCACCTCCCCCTATCCACAATAACAAGAGCTTGGTTAAGAGGTAGAAATTCATTATCTCTCAAGGAGAATCTTCACGCTCATTCACTTGACTATTGTGAGTATCAACCTGAAATTTTACCTCTTGTTTATCACTCATACCCATTCTACTATCCATCCTTGGGGTTTTAATTTCCATGTATGCGCTTGCATATCTTGAGTCAAGCATAGATCAAGAGTTCAGCCACTCTCACTTACTCTTAACGAGAATTTCTAGGGTATTTTTTATACACGTGAATATTTTATATGAGATAGGATATGGTAGAGTTTATCTCTCATTTGAATATCTTCATATTTTATTTAATTTTATTTAAGTACTTATATTTTTTTCTCTATATATAAAATAAAAATATGATGAAATATCCACTATTAATAATATTTTAATCATAATTATCTAAGTTAAAAAATATTACAAGAGGTAATTAACTTAAAGGGATGGTGCAAGCATTGTGCAAAAATTTAACGTTATGACAATAAAGTTATTGAAGTCTACTTGTTGATTTTAGTATAAACAATGAACTAGCCTTTGAAGTGGTAATACTCGTACAAAGCAACCAAAATTTCCAAAAGATCTCCCAGAGACCCACTGACTAGAAAGACATTATAAACTCATGGAAAAGAAAATCATAATCTTTGTAGAATGTAAATCTTTTAATAGACAAACAAAAACCCCTCAATGGAAAGGTTTTGCAAAATAACACTTAACATTCGTTGGATACAATAGATGTTTATGAAGTTATAACTTTAAAATGAACGCTAGCCAAAATTGAAGGTAGTAATGAATACCTTGACAAGATAAAAAAATTTCTAGTGACAAATCAAGTTTAGGTTATGAGAAAGAGAACAATGCTCACGATGAAAAAAGTCTTAATTTGTCCTTTATGAAAAAGTAGTCATATGTCCAAAAATTATAAGAATCTAATGGTTTATACTTTTAGAACTAAAAAGAAAGAACCTAAAAATATTTGGATGTCTAAAAATAAGATAATTTGTCTTGTAGATCTCCTTAAAAACGAGGAGGAAATACTTTTCATGGTACTTAGACAATGAATAATATGAAAACAATGCAAACAAAAATATATGTTGCAAAACCTGATTCATGCATAGTGGAATAGTCAAAAGGACAATTAAAATGTGCCGCAAAATTCTCAGAAAGAAAAAAGTTATTATGTGCTAAATTTATATGGTTTAAATAATCTAAAAGTAACGAAAAGTATTAGAAATATACAAAATCATGTAAAACAAATTAAAATCATTAACCCATATTTGGTAATCGGTGTTTGGGACCTATAAATAGTTATTTTATGTAATTTAAAATCAAAACCTATCATAACTACTAGGTCTCTGTTTTTATCCGTGTCTCATCTCTCCCTAAACCCTAAATTTTGTCACTACCTTCATTTATATCTTCTAATAGCTACATGGCTCCCCTAATCAACCATTAATCTATTTTTCATTTATCCCTCTAAAATCCTAACAAAATAAAAGCAAATTATTTTTATAAGTACTGGGGCAGAATAAGAAGTACCCTTAGAGCAACTTTCTTGAATTGGTTCATTGCTCTGAATTGTTTGAGCCTATTCATTACAGCATTGTCAAGTGGTTTATCAGGAGCTTCTCCATCCTCCTTGATCCATGGATGATCTGTGGTTAACATAAGAATTTCATTGATAGTTGGAGTTGATTTTGTTAGTGAACCATAAAATTGAAAATGAATTAAAGCGATTTGTGAGAAAAATAATTGAAAGTGAAGCAAAACCAACGGAAAATATATGCTTACCTAGAACTTCAGATGCGGTCAGTCTCTTCTGGGGATCTGAATTCAGCATGTTGCTTACAAGATCCTTCGCTGCAGGTGAAATTGAAGGCCATGGATCGCTTGTAAAATCAATGTGGCCTTTTAGGATGGCGTTGAATATACCATGTTCGGATTCTGCCAAACCATTTCATTTTTTTTTTCAGTTCCAAGCACATTATAGATCTAGAAGAGGACTAAATGATCAATTTTGCATTTCAAATTATGATTTTCTACCGTTACAGTCTTTAGATTTAACAAAATTTATATATATATATATATATATATATATATATATATATATAATGTTTTTAAATTTATGTTAATATTATTATTTAAGTCATAATAACAACAATTTAAAATTTGCAGGGTATATAACTCCTTTTTCTTTAAAACTGTGTTTTTGAAATGGTTTCTTTGTAAAATAATGAGAGGGCAAAATTATAGACCTGCCCAAAATGGAGGAACACCACTCAGAAGAATGTATAACATGACACCAACACTCCATATGTCAACTTCTGGCCCATAATTCCTTTTCAAAACCTCAGGAGCAATGTAGTAAGCACTTCCAACAATGTCTCTGAACGTCTCTCCTGTTATATAATAAAGATTCTATTAACACATGCATATGAAGATTCAAGATTCTCTACATTCATAACATTTTCCTAATGCATGCACAAACGTATATTAATCATTTTCTTCATCAACAGGTTCAATGTACGTACGATTTTTATCATTAAATTATAATGGGTCAACGTCTCTTTGTATGAAAATTTGAAAACAAATATTCATATTAACCTTTGCCGTTTAACGAACGAGTTTAAACGATCTAAGAACATGAGATGAGATGCTGAACATAAAACGATAAAATTATTATTCACATGCTTATTAAGTGTTTGGCTGTTTAAGATTTTTCCAAAATATATTTTATAGCCAAAAAATCATTTTAAAATATGTTAGCATGTTTGGAAATATTATTTTTTTAATCAGAATTCAAACATTCTGAATAGATAAAATAATGAGTAATTTGCAAATATAAAATTATATTTTTGAGAAATTTTAAAATCTTTTTCTTGTATCCTTTTTCATATTCTTTATATAAGAACATCAACAAACGGGTAATAATATATAATATTGCTGCACAAATTAAAGTGCTACCGTTTGCATGGAAATGAAATATCGTAACAGAATTAATGCAAACAATAAATGAGAGGGTATGAAAAAGAGAAACACAATAGAGGTGAAATAGAACAAAAGATGAACCTTCTTTGAAGAAAACGGATAGACCAAAATCTGTGACCTTGAGGGGTGCATCTTCATCCGTATTCAACAAGAGGAAATTCTCAGGCTTAAGATCTCTGTGAATAACACCCATGTTATGGAAGGTATGAACAATTTGCACAATGGTTCTCAACAATGAAGCTGCAGCACGTTCAGTGTAATGGCCCTTAGCAATGATGCGATCAAAAAGTTCACCACCAGCGCAAAGCTCCATGACCAAATGCACCGATTGTTTATCCTCATAGGCACCTTTAAGGTCCACAATGTTAGGTTGGCCCGAGAGGTGTTGCATGAGTTGCACCTCTCTTTTCACATCCTCTATATCCTCCTTGTTCACAAGCTTCCTCTTGGCAATGGTTTTGCATGCAAATTGTTCACCTGTTTCTTTGTCTGTGCACAAGTATGTGACACCAAATTGGCCTCTCCCCAGCTCCTTCCCGATGGTGTAGGTGGCTGTCACGTCCTCCATCGGCCGGCCGAGAACCGGCCCCATGGGGGCGGAGGATTTCGAGTTTTTCCAAGGAGGTGACGTGACCATGGGCGGTGGCGTGGTAGGGTTTGTGGAAGCCTCATTGTGATTGTCATTGTTGTTTGAATGGGTGCTACCTTGTTGGTTGGTTTCTCCTTTGTCATTGGCGGCGTTGTCCTCCGTGCCATCGGCAGCCTCGCCTGCAGAGCAACAGTTGCCCATGGGGAACGGAGGGAGGAAAACCCGAAGTCCGGAAATGAAGGAAAGAGATATATAAGGCTGAATGGGAAGGGTGGTGCTTAATTGTTGGCTTTGGGGGTTGAAATATAGATTGTTTGGAGAGAGAAATGACTAAAAGAAAGAGCAACGATCATGTCCATTTTCTTTTTATACATCATACATTTTATTAAAAAAAAAAAACAGAAAATACAACTCACAAGGGACTAGGGCAAACTCATCAAACAGAAAATGAAAATGGAAACTCAAGAATGTAGCTTATAAAACTAGGTACAACCATCAAAGAAAAACTTGCTTTTCCTTACAACTAAAATTAGCTAAACAATCCGCAGATCAATTACCTTGTCTAAAAATACGAGAAACATGAAAATTCATAATAGATCTCAAGACACTTTCTGCATCCAGTAGAAAGACACCAAAGAACAAAGATCTCTTCCAGAAAAGCCAATATCATTAATTGACAATCATATTCAATTTTTTGTCTAACATTCATCTCATACTATTTTATTAATTAATACCTAAAATACAAATAAACATAAAATTTTAAGTTTTATTATTATTATTATTATTATTATTATTATTTTATTATTATATTAATAATAAAGTTGTTGGATGATTATTTATTTTAATGGAGATGTGGAGATATTTTTCCTTAAAGGAAAATAATATGGGAAAAATTGAAAGTGTAAAAATGGGAAATCAAATAAAATAAAAGTACTTAAAGTATTTCATTATAAATAAATAAATAATAAATATTATAACAAAAAATTGTAATAATGTCATGTAAGAAAAGTTTGGATCAATTCACTTTAACTAATTTAATTTATTGTTCCATGTATTTTTAATGATTGATTTAATGGCTGATTGGATATTTTAGTCACTAAATAAGTATTATAAAAGGATGTAATTATTGATTAATTTTACTTTAAAAAAAGGTTAACTAATATTACAAAGAACATGATATGTATAAATTGAGTCAAATTCTTATACTTTTTTGTGATCAAGGATGAATTCAGAAATATATCTCATTTCGACCCAGAGGCAACAAAATACTTACAAAAATACCCAACAATGGATCATTAAGTGCAAACATTACAGGTTAACTCATCAGTCAATAGTAAATAGGTCCTCGTAAAAGAAAATAAAAGAAGAAGCACGGCTTGATATGAGGTAACATTTCCCCTTGAATTGTGATGATATCAATAAGATTGAAGAAGCTAGGTTGAATTAGTAACCTTACCAACATGTGTCAATTAAAAGAAAAAAATATATAAATATTTATATTTTTAAATATCTCATTTGATATAATTTTTTCTTTTTATTTTTTAATTTTATAACATTATAGTTATTATATAATTTATATTTTTTTCCAAGTTTTATTTGGATATCATTACTATAATGGGTTTATGTATATTTTCTCATTATAAAATCCTTCTTCTCACCCTCGTTTATCCGCTGCAGTGAACTTTACAAACCGTGTTCAGTTTAAATTCAACTAAAACTGCACAACATTTGTTTTCAATGGATAATTTCGAGAATCAAGACTGCCAAAAGAATGAATCAATATTGCAACAATTATCACGATTAACCACGAAATCCATATTCGGTCTTTTTCCAGGATACTCACTTGTATAATAAAAAATCAACGAGATATTAATCCAATTTATACAAAAAATTGACATATTTTAAACTAAAAAACATTAAGACATTGAATTATTGATTTTTTTTCTTATATTTTACTATTTTCTGATTTTTATATATTGTCTTTGTTATAATGGCACATGCTTACTTGACTTAGTCTCACAAAGATTTTTCATCCAAAAAATACTCTTAAACTATCAATCATTATATAAATTATTGACTCTAATGCCAATGATAAATATTTTAAGAAGATTTACCTAAGAGATAAAACACTAATCAAATATGAGTCCAACTCATGTGTTTTTCTTTCTTATATATTATTAATTTTTCTTATTTTTACTATGTGAAACTTACACTTAAATTTCCCTACCGTCCATGCTCTAAACCAAGATCTTTAAAAAAAGAAAAAGAAAAAAGCAAATCAATCAAAACATGTCCAATATGACTCACTTGTTTACTCATTTTACAACGTGAATAGTATATAGATAACATGAAGTAACTTACATAGTCTATGAATTTTACTTTACAATGCAATTGGGATTCTTACACTCACACATCCTTCACAACATGTAAGAGTGGAGTGTTTACAACTACCTAAATCCATTATGTTTAATTAAACCTTTTTAACATATAAATGCATGTCCATTTTGTTTTATTTTTCTGTCCGAAAATTTCTCCTCACCCCTGTCTCGATAAATCCTAACCTTAACACGCCAAAGACTCCTTCAAAATCCACCCTCTAACCTTCCTACATTCTCTCACTGTCAAATACCTTCCCCTAATTTCATCAACTTCCCAAACTGTGGATAAACCAAAAACTGGCCGTTTTGACACCCTTCAACTTTCTCTTTTTATTTTTTATTTTCCATTTTCACTCCTTTTTTTTTTTTTCGTATATTTTCTTTTAATTATTCCTCTCTCCATACAATCTATATTCAACCCCAAAACCCAATAATTAATCACCACCCTTCCATTCCCCATATATATCTCTCTCACACACATATTCTCTCTCTTTTCTTCGTACCATTCACGGATTCTTTTGGTTTTCCTCCCTCCTTCCACCATGGGCAACTGTTGCTCTCAAGGCAACGCTGCCGATGGCCTGGCCGACAGTGGAGCCGCCGCCGATGACAAGGGAGAAACCAACCAACAAGGTAGCACTCATTCAAACAACAATAATAATGCCAATGAGGCTTCCACAAACCCTACCACCCCACCACCGTCATCGCCACCGCCCGCGGTTGCACCAGCTCCTACAAAATCCACAAAGCCGGGCGCCATTGGCCCTGTCCTTAACCGGCCGATGGAGGACGTGAGAGCCACGTACACCATTGGGAAGGAGCTAGGGAGAGGCCAATTTGGTGTCACACATTTGTGCACAGACAAAATAACAGGTGAACAATTTGCGTGCAAAACCATCGCGAAGAGGAAGCTTGTGAACAAGGAGGATATAGAGGATGTGAGAAGAGAGGTACAAATCATGCACCACCTGTCAGGGCAACCTAATATTGTGGTACTTAAAGGCGCATATGAGGATAAACAATCAGTGCATTTGGTCATGGAGCTTTGTGCTGGTGGTGAACTCTTTGATCGCATCATTGCTAAGGGTCATTACACTGAACGTGCTGCAGCTTCTTTGCTGAGAACCATTGTTCAAATTGTTCATACCTTCCATAGCATGGGTGTCATTCACAGAGATCTTAAGCCTGAGAATTTCCTCTTGCTGAATAAGGATGAAAGTGCACCCCTCAAGGCCACAGATTTTGGTCTATCCGTTTTCTTCAAAGAAGGTTCATCTTTCGTTCTATTTCATCTTTATTGTGTTTCTCTTTTCCACACCCTCTCATTTCTGTTTGCATTAATTCTATTAAGAGAGATAAGTTTCTTGCACAAAGTATCACTTAAATTTGTTGTGCAGAATTATTTTGTTCCAGTTTGTTTAATTTAAAAAAATGAAAACTATTTTTTTTAAGAAAATGGTTTTAAAATTGATAAAAAAAATATAATTTTATTTGAGATTTTTTGCGAATGACTCATTAGCCATTTTAATATCTAATTATTTTGAATTCTAACTAAAAATAATAACATATCAAAACAAGCTAGCATATTTTAAAATTATTTAAAAAAAATAATTTTTGGGGAAAATATCTTAAACAATCAAACACTTAATAAGCATGTGAATAATAATAATTTATTGTTTTATGCAGCGGTATATCTGTTCTTAACTAAAATTGATAAAACTCATCCTTAATGGCAAAGGTTAATAAGATATTTGTTTTCAAATTTTCATATAAATAGATTTACGTTATTATAATAAGATTTTACCTTTCTGGTAGAAGAAAATGATTATAAAGGAATGTGAATAATCTTAATTCTTCATATGCATGTTTTGATATGTAGCTTCTTTATTGTTTGAACAGGAGAGACATTCAAAGACATCGTTGGAAGTGCTTATTACATTGCTCCTGAGGTTTTGAAGAGGAAATATGGGCCAGAAGTTGACATATGGAGTGTTGGTGTCATGCTATACATTCTTCTATGTGGTGTTCCTCCATTTTGGGCAGGTCTATACATTTTACCTTCTCATTTTTTTCCAAAGAAACCACTTTATGTAAAAACTGTTTTAAAGAAAAAGGAGATTATGTACCCTGCATGTTTTAAATTCTTGTTATGACTTAAAAAATAATATTAACATAAATTTAAAAATTAAAATAATAGTATTTACGTAAAGCAAATTACAATTTTCAGATAATTTAAATTTTTTTTGTTAAATCTAAAGACTATAATGGCAGCACATAACAATTTTATTTTCTAAACATATGGTGTGTTCGGAACTGGAAAGTGATTTGTTTTGACAGAATCTGAACATGGTATATTCAATGCCATCCTAAGAGGCCACGTTGATTTTACAAGCGATCCTTGGCCTTCAATTTCACCTTCAGCAAAGGATCTTGTAAGGAACATGCTGAATTCAGATCCCCAAAAGAGACTGACAGCATACCAAGTTCTAAGTAAGCATATGTTTTCACTATTTTCTTCACAATCTCTTTAATTACAATTTCATGATTCACTAAAGAAATCAGCGCAAACAATCAATGAACTTGTTATGTTAACAACAGATCATCCATGGATCAAGGAGGATGGAGAAGCACCAGATAAACCACTTGACAATGCAGTACTGAATAAGCTCAAACAATTTAGAGCAATGAACCAATTCAAGAAAGTTGCTCTAAGGGTACTTCTTATTCTGCCCTATAACTTTTATGAAGATAAGTTCCTTTTAAAGATTGGACTCACACAAAATAAACAAAAGGAAAGTGACTAATTTTAGCCATTGATGAGAATAAAGCTGTCGATATTCTGACAAAGGCATGATTTCTTAAATGCTTTAAGCATATCAAGCATTGATTTTTTTCATCAAAGAATTGATATTACCTACTTTCACTCTGTTAAGCAAATTGCTAGCTTTAGATGATATTAATCCTTCGTTCTGTAAATACCAATTTTTTTAGTCATTACATATCTCTTGCACCACATTGCATATTAGAAAGTGCATGTAGAAAGCAAAAATAACATTGAAATTTACAAATGAATAGGTAATTGCCGGGTGTCTATCAGAAGAAGAAATCATGGGGTTGAAGCAAATGTTCAAGGGCATGGACACTGACAACAGTGGAACCATCACAATTGAAGAGCTCAAACAAGGGCTGGCAAAGCAAGGGACAAAGCTTTCAGAACAAGAAGTTAAGCAGTTAATGGAAGCTGTAAGTTATTCTTCTCCACCATTTTCATGCAACAAAATAACCACAGCAACAATTCTAATCATTTACACACAAAAATTCTCATTCTTCTGCGAATTACAGGCTGATGCTGATGGCAATGGAACCATAGATTACGACGAGTTCATCACGGCAACAATGCAGATGAACCGAATGAACAGAGAAGAACATCTTTACACTGCCTTCCAATACTTTGATAAAGATAATAGCGGGTAAGAAATTCTACTGGATTGAACATACATGCATGCCAATCTTAGTGAACTACTTGGTTTGGTGTGTCATAAAATCAAGATTCTAATGCCATTTTCATGGCACAAAAATTAGGTTCATTACCACTGAAGAACTAGAACAAGCTCTCCATGAGTTTAACATGCATGATGGCAGGGACATCAAGGAAATCCTTCAAGAAGTTGATGGAGATAATGTAAGTTCTACACATGTAATTAACTGCATTATTATACTTCCTCCGTAGGTTGTAGTTTTTATACATTTGATAATGGATCCTGTTATGTGCATGACATTTATGTTCAAAGTTAATGTGAATCACTCTTCTAGTAAATGTTAAACAAGCCTTGCATATTTTATGTAAATTACAAGGGTGATAGACACCAAATGTTAACATGACCTTGCTGTATTAAATTTTAACAACTTGTATCCAATTCCCTTTCCATAATTGTATTTTTACATGGCTGATATTTATGAGGAAATTGTGATGTTATGCAGGATGGCAGAATTAACTATGATGAGTTTGTGGCAATGATGAGAAAAGGAAGTACAGAAGCTGCGACTAAGAAGAGGCGTGATTCAATGCCTTTGCTTTAGTGGGGTGACTCTAAGGATTAATCTGTTTCAGTCTGTGGTTTTCTCTGGTGGAGAAGCTGATGGGTGAACAAAGAATGATCTGGACAGCATTGCATCATAGCTTTGTTGGTTGGGAGGGATATAGATGAGGAATGAATTCGACAAGGGTGGAAACAAAAAGTGTTGAATGAAATGTGGGAAAGGGGAAGAGCATAAACTAATCTTTGAGAAATGATAAGACACAATAGGTGGTCGGATTAACATTTTTTTCTTTTGCTTTTTCCATACCCGTGAAATCTTGTAACATGTCACGTATTGGTCGCATAATTAGGAATTAAAAGAAAGGGTGTTTCTTCATGAATACTAGGCATAAATAGTTTGTGCTAGGTTCATATAATCTTCTGACTTATATATATATATATATATGATGATCATGACCACTGGAAACTTAACATGGATTTCTTGGAATTTTATTAGTTTTTCAGTGAGCACTAATACATCACAAAGGATTTAATAGATTCTGAATTCAGCTTATATAAGAAATTAATGGCAGCTCTTCACCCGCGTCAATATCTTAGACAAGATTCATACAATGGAATTTGAACTAGTTAGCGCAGTAATATTTAGCTAAAGTTTGCAAATCTTCTTTGTTCTTTCAAAATATAAATATAAATATAAATATAAATATAAATATAAATATAAATATATAGAGAACAATAGTTCATCTTGACCAGATGAGAAAAATATAGAATCTCTTCAAGGTTTTATATTATAAGGTTTTATATTATAGATCTTATTTGGTTGGAACGTAAACCCTAGGACTCAAGAATGAGCGTGATCAAGTCATAGGAGGTTTAGGGGAACAAATGTACACGTAATGTTGTGTACAATAGAAAACTACACACCTGAATTTAAATAACTACAATTTATAAAATTAAAACAAAGTGTTTTTAATTAAATTTGAAAGTTGTTAGAATAAAGTAAAGATTAGAAATTACTTTAAAATAAAATAATATAGTAATTAAATTTATTTTTTCAAAAGTGATAAATCTAAAATTAAGTTGAGAATTATATGCAGAACTAAGTAATAAAAGAAAACCAAACAATAAACAAAATGGATTTGAAAATTAAAATTTGTGCGTGAGTGAGTGAAAATAGTAAAATTATAATTGGAATCAGAAAAGAGATGAATTGAAAATAAAAACTAAGTAGTATTAGAATAAAATAAATATTATAAACAATTAAATCATAGAAATTAACTGAACATTAAATGAATAAAGTAAACAAAACGATATAAATTGGAATTTTCAATAAAAATTACAAAATAAATAAAAGAGAACAAACTAGAAGTGCAATAGTAGTAGATGAACTCGTTTAAATAAAAACTAAATTAAAGACTAAGAATGAAAAAGAAAATGGAGACGAGACAAAACAACAGATCGTCCTGAAGTAGCAGATTTTAATTTTGTTCACATCATACCTCCATTTATAGGGGTTTGAACAAGAGAAATAAAGTCTGAATTAATTACAATAAAATCAATGTTAGAATCGCGCAGCGGAATATTCGCGTGGTCGAACAAAAACCAAGAGGGGGGGTGAATTGATTTCTTAACAAAAATTAGATTTTCCAAATTTTCCCCAAATTTTACCGATTAAAAAGTTGTGTAAACGTAAATAAGATAGAGATAGAGTCTTACACAGGAGATTTATACTGGTTCGGATCAAAAGACCCTACGTCCAGTTGCTAATAACTCAAACAGAGGATTAACGCTGTCACTATAATCAAAGTTGTTACAAACAGATAACAATTGAAAATACAAAGTAAAGAAAACACCTCTCTTGAAACCCACAAGAGATGAAGAACAGTTTTCCCCAGAGACGGCACAACACACAATCCACTAAGAACTCCACTTAGTAATTCTTATCGCTTCTAGCCCACACCAGGTTCCAAAAGCCCCTTTTTCCTCCAACAAACAGTTCTCTGGCACTCACAACACTTAACTTTTGTTTGAAAAAGGTTGTTCGATTTTTCTGAGTGCCATAGAGAAGCTTAAGTAGAGAAATTAGGGTTTGGGAATTGGGATTTTCGAAACTAGGAGTCTTGGAATTAGGGTTTTCGAAAATAGGTTCAATTTGAAGTTGAAAATAAAAAACTGACTGAAATAATCGATTAAATGAAGTGTTAATCGATTATTACAGAGCCAAAATCAACAGAACCCCAAAACTCTCTGTTTTAATCGATTAAAAGCCCTGTTAATCGATTAACAGGCCTGTTCTGTTAATCGATTAACAGGTGTGTTAATCGATTATTACAGTGAATAGTTACGGAAAATGGTTTTTCTCACTGTAATAATCGATTATTTGACCATTTAATCGATTAAACCCGAGGCAAACTAATAAATGTGAGTTTTTGAAGCTTCTAAAGTGCAGACTATGTACCGGCTATCTTAAAATCTAATATTACAGACTCAAACTAATCAAAACAGAGTTATTATATAATAAAACAAGTCTTCAACACTCTAACTTCTTTGTTCTTGAATCATCATCAAAATCAACAAGCTTCATGTCCATGTAAGTTCAACATCAAGTCCTTGTATGTTCAACAATCAAATGTTTCCAAATTAAAAATTTTAAAATTGGATTATTGTGACAAAAAATTTCAAGGATCGATTTAGAGGAAATGATCTGTTTCTTTCCTATTTTGAGTGATCTAGCACTAATTTACATTTACTTCTTGATTCCTGCTAACCTTTAATTCAACAAAATTAGATTCTTGCACCAATTAATTTGCTTGATTCAAAATTTTCATTTATGAAATTCTGCAAGTGGGCTACACAAGCAAACTTGGACTTCCGAGAATAGTGAAACTCGACTGCATCAATTTGAACCTTTATTTCTATCAAGTTGGCTCATCTCAAATTATCTTTCTCCTACATAAAAAAAATGCATTAAGGATGTATGCATGTATATTATATTTTTTATACTAAAACTATGAAAATGAAACAAATTAAGAAAGATTGAATTATCCTATGCTTTTAATGAAAACATGTTAAATGCATGGTTTATGAAGAAAATAACTAGCTTAAAAAATATTCTTAGATCAAGAAATAAAGAGTAAAATGATATGCCTCAGTCAGTCTTTTCTAGTCATTAGTTATTATATTTGCAAGATCGAAAACCTCCTACAAGACCAAATTTGGTGGTTTAACCTATGGGTGAGTATTTGTAGATCGTTTTTGCACTTGATTACTAATGTGTTCTCGCTTCTTTGTCTAAGGTCTGATCGGTGTGCCTACAAAAAATATTTTGACGCTCAAGTCAGATAAGAGTATTAGTATGGAAAATATTCGTAATCAATAAACAGTGGTCATACCTTGAAATCCTCATCTATTTATACTACCATTGTTGAGTTTCCCCAATGGACCTTAGCTCCTTGGCGACCTTATTTAGTGTTCGCCACTTACAACCTAGTCGAGTGACTACATTAAATGTGGCTAGGCCTATACATCTATAGGCTTTCGTGGTCATATGGGTACATACACTAGCCCCCTGGCAACAACATTTTGATCGCACAATGATGTATGTCATTTTACTCTTTATTTCTTGATCTAAGAGCATTTTCTAAGCTAATTATTTTTTTCATAAACCATACATTTAACATGTTTTCATTAAAAAACATAGCATAATTCAATTTTCTTAATTTGTTGTATTTTACATATTTTTAGCATAATAAACAAATATACATGCATACATCCATATTGCATATTTCTTTTTTCTTCTTTTGTAGGAGAGGTAATTTGAGATGAGCCAAATTGATATATAGCAATGTCCAAACTGATGTCGTCAAACTTCACCCTTCTTGGAAGCCTACTTGCAGAACATTACAAATGGAAATTTTGAATCAAGCAAATTAACTAGTGCAGAAATCCAATGTAGTTGAATTAAAGGCCAACATGAATAAAAAATTAAATGCAAATCAGTGTTGGATCACTCAAAATAGGAAAGAAGCATATTATTTTCTCTAAATCAATCCTAGAAATTTCTCTTCACAACAATTAGATTTTGTAATTATTTATTTGAGAAATATTTGATTTTATTGTAATTAATTTTAGGCTTAATTTCTCTTGTTCAAGCCCCTATAAATAGAGGTCTTATGACAACACACAATCACAATCTCCTAGCCTGGGATGAGAATTGTTGTTTTGTCTCGTCCCCATTTTCTTTTCGTACTCTCGGTTCGTAGTTTAGTTTTTAGTTAGGCAAAGTTCATCTACTGCTACTGCACTTTTAGTTTGTCATCTTTTATTAATTTGCAATTTCTATTGCATTTTTCAGTTTATATTGTTATAGTTATTTTATTTATTCAGTGTTCATTTTAATTTCTACTATTTAATTATTTAAAATTTTTATTTTGGTACTTGCATAGTTTTTATTTTCAATTCTTCTCGTTTCCAATTCCAATTCGCAATTTAGTTTTAGAGTTATTTCTTTCTGAAATTTCAAATATAATTACTTGTACTATTTTATTTCACAACAATTATTGATTCTTGCACTTTTAATTAAAAACACATTATTTTAATTTTATAAATTTCGATTATTTAAATTACTGCATCAATTTATTTTTAATTACTTGCAGTATTTTGTCTTAGAACAATTTTTTATTCCTCCACTTTTAATTAAAAGCACTTTATTTTAATTTTATAAATTTCAGTTATTTAAATTCTGATTCCATTTAATTTTAATTGTCGTTAATATTCTATAGCAATTTGATTTTAATTTTTTTATTACGCATCAAAATTTTTTCACTCTTTCATTCATCCCCCTATTTATTGTTATTTACTGTTTTCGAGAAAATGATATGTGATAATGAATATATTCCTATAATTGTGTGCTTGTGAGATTTGACACGGGTTAGCTTTATCTGCATTAGTTTAACAACTTGTTTATTATTTTTTATCAGTATTTTTTGTGACCAAAATGTTGTTATCAAATGACGTCGTTGTTGGGGATACAATTGTGTT